CTCAATTTCATTATTTACTACCTCTTTCCAAAGGTATGCATCACAAGAAATCATTGCTTCTTCATAAGTTTGAGGATCATTCTCTATAAGAAAGACATAGTAATCATCTCCAAAACTTTTCGCTTTTCTTACTCTCTTAGTTCTCCTTATTTCTAACTCTGAACTTTTAGAAGAATTCTAAAGAGTTTCATTTTGAGGAGAACTCAAAATTTTCATTTTGTGATAAAGTCTTTTCACAATTGATTTTCTTAGGAAAAACATTCTCAAAGAAATCTGTATTTTTATATTCAATGATTGTGTTTGCATAATAAAAACCAACCTCTTGCTTATTACCATGAATCCATAAGCAAAATTGTTCTGCGCATAACCTATAAACATACAATCAACATCCTGGGTCCTAACCTTTTCCTTTTAGGTTCAAGAATCAGGACTTTAAGCAACTCAAATAACACTTTAAGCAAGGAAAGACTTAACTAACAATGGTCGGCTACGGAACGTCATGGCGGCGAGAGTGGCACACTGTCAAATCCCAAAATCTTTGCTCTGATACCAAAAATGTAACACCTGCTATGTAAAGTATGGATATACATAGCGTATGGAAAATAGTAGGCTCAAATTTTTTTCTTTACTCAATAAAATATAATTCTGTACAAATACAAAATACTGTATATTAAAAACTTTCTACTTAATACAAAATCATAACTGGTGGACAGTGGTGCCAATACTCTCCGCTGCTCGACGTCCATCCGACCGCTGCTTCTATTTCCTGCAAAACAGAGAAGAACAACGGGGTGAGCACAACAAGGCTCAGTAAGTAAATCTTCTACTACTTGTCCCCGCAACTCACTTTTTGGTTCTTCCTTACTCTAACGTTCTTCTATTTCTAATTCTCACGGTTTTTCTCTCTGTTCTTATTCTCTTTTCTCCTTCTCTTATTCTTACTCACCATGAAGGAAAATCATGGTTCTCTCTCAGTCTCATCATACTCACCATGAAGGAAAATTATGGTTCTCTCTCTTATTCTCGTTATACTCTCACTAACCATGGAAGAACTCATGGTGCATGCATATATGAGATGTACATGCCATTAATGCAAAAGAACTACATGTTTCTTTCTTCTACTCTTTATTCTTACTAATTCAAACTCTCTCATTCTTTCTCATACTCTCTCTCTTTTTCTATCTCATCCTTCTCAAGCTTTTTCATTCTTTAATTCTTTCTATCATCTCATTCTCATTTCTGTTTCCCTTTCTCATAACTCTTTTCTGTTAACCTTCTGTTGTAGGGTATGGCCTTATCTTACCGGAGACACGGCTGGGTACTCCTCTCACTCTTCGTAACCCTACTTATTGTCTCTCTTTATTCTTTCTCATGTTTACTCATCTCTTTCTCAAGCTAGTACTCATAATATAGCCTAGCTCTTAGCTTTTCTCATCTCTACGTGACTTCTATTGATTCTCAGCCAATCGGACTTGGTTATGCATGGATTCGGAACCCTTAGTCATGTGAGTGTATAATCTCTCTCTCGGGTACTCGGGTATAGCCCTCATCCGCATGCACTCTCACGGGCTACACCACTTCTCTTTCTCATACTCGTGCCGCTCTCTCACTGCAGTGTACATGCGGGAATACTCTACCCATTACTCACGGGTTCCCCATCACATAACCTACTCTATCCTCTTTCTGTTCTGTCTATTCCTTTGTTTCTCATTCTTACTCTTTGGAATGTCATGACCTCATCTGACCAGAGGCACGGCTGGGCGCTACCACTCTACGTGACTTCTGCTCATTTCTCTACCGATCGGATTTGGTCATGCATGGATTCAGAACCTTTGGCCATGTGAGTGTACATGCTTGCTCTCTATGTCTCAAATGTCATGACCCCTTCTTACCGGGGGCACGGCTGGAACCTCATGTTCCACTCTACGTGACGGTCTCGGCCTCATCTGACCGGAGGCACGGCTGGGGATCACAAAGCACCCACTCTCGTGACTTTACTCATCACTCACAGTTTCCCCATCGCACAACCTACTCTATTCTCTTCTGTAGCACTTTTCTCTCTTTTATTCGTTAGTGCTCAATCTCTCTCTTTCTCTTTACTATTAGAGTGTTCTCATTCTCTTTACTCTTAGAGTTGCTATTCTCAACATTCTCTACTCTTTCTCACTCAAACTATTACTCATAGTATAATTTATACTCAAAATACTCTTGCTCAAGCTAATAGTCATCTCTTTCTCAATATAGCTTAACTCTTAGAGTAGTCTATTCACAAAGATCTCTACTCTTTCTCAAGCTATTTCTCAATGCATAATCAATGCTTATGGATGGCTCATGCTCATTAATACACTCAAGAAATGCCAACATGCAATATTACAAGAATTAAGGTTCATAACTCATGCTCATGCTTCTCCTAGGCATTTCATCAAACAACTCATGTACATACAAAACTCTACTTTATTGGAGAACTCTATTTCTCTCTTAGGCCATCCCAAAATGGGAGGAAATTCTCTTGCATGCTTTCATTCCTTGTCAAGGAAACACAATCCCAAACATCTACTCCAACCTCTTCCAATCTCAATCAAACTCAACTCATCATCATGCAAGTAGAACACTTCTCATAACTCAAATATATTCACAATCAACTTAAATAACTACTCATAGCATCTCAATCTCTACACAAGCATAATATAAACATGCATAAAGAAATCTCTACTCATTAGATTCCTTAAATCTCAACTTGAGTTGGATTTATTTACCTCATACTTGAGTAGTCTCCACTAAAACTCTCTACTCTTGTTGGATCATAGCTTTCCCTTATTTCCTAAGCATAAACTTAGTAAGAACTTAACCCTTACATAAATAAAACTCATATCTAGAGTAGGGATTCTTACCTCTTCTTGCTTAGGATCACTTCTTTGTCAAATTCCAACTCAACACTCTGAAAAATCCCTTGGAAAACTGAGTGAGAAATTGAGAGAAAATGAGAGATGAAGAGGCGGTGGAAATGAGAAAAAATGAATGGGTTTAGATAACTCAACCCTTATTAACTCATATAATATATACTCTTTCCCATTTTGCCCTTACTCTTTCTTGAAATTTCCACCTTTATCCTTTAATTCTTTACAAACTCACCCCCATTTTACACTATTCTCCATGAAATTTCCTTACATTTTACTCCCCATTTTTCCTGTTAATTAGGGGTAAAAAGGTCATTTTTCCCTTAGGAAAGAATCCTCTAGAAAACTAAAACAAAACTCAGCCGGCCCTTCGCCGCAGCGAAGGATTCTTTGTCGCCCCGACGAAGAATTACAGAATCGACATTGCCAATGCAAAGTCGACGTCACCGCGGCGAAGCTTCTTCCTCGCCTCGGAGAAGGCTACAACTCCAAAATCTGCCAAGTCTTGATCCATTCCATGGTAAACACACAACCAAACCCAAAACATAAACTCAACCAAGGACCAACCAAACCACATGAACAATATACAAACTCATTTAGGGGCAATTCAGTAAACCTTGAGGCCATAACATAAATAATGCCTATGTATCGCAAATGGGCATTACATGTTCTCTACAGCTTTTCTGTATCTACATTGACTAGCAAAATGTGTCTAGTTTCCCCACATAAAAAATAATGTCCTTTGTTTTTGAAAGTGTTGGGGTTCTTGTTGTTAAAAGATTTCTTGTTATTGTTCTTAAAACTCTACGATTTCTTGTTCTTAGGTTGAGGAGGAACCACTTGGCTTTCAACAACATTAGCCTTGGATGTCAATTCCTTGGCGTTATTGGCTTTATCTCTAAGCATATTCGTCTCCTCAATCCTAAATTATTTCTTCATTTTCAAGTCATTAATTAGTAAATGATAGTCATGTATTTGTATGGATACCTTTTTTTCTTCTACCATTTTAAAATGTAGGAAGTTTCCTACGACATATTTTTATGATCCAGTGTCCTTAACAACATATTTCTTTTTCAATGTTGTCCATATCTCACGTGCATTCCTATAAGTGCAATAAACATCATAAAGTTCATTTGATAATGTACTGAGGATAGTATGGCGACATACCTTATTCCTTTCTTCCATGTGTCAAGTTTTTGGTCAAAATTGTCCACTTCAGGTTTTGGTTCTTCTATTGTGAGATACTCTACAAAACCGAGCATGTCCAAGAGTCAAATACTTTTTCTTGCCACCTCTTGAAATGAGCTCCGGCAAAGGGCTCAATTTTGGAGATGTTAGGAAGTGACTTGGCAGTGAGAATTGCAATGTCCATTTCAGCAAAGTTCACTTGGATTTAATCTTAAGATTGTTGAATTTATTACAAATCTTATAAACAGCAGCAANGTTTTAATTTATTTCTTCAATATTTAATTTTAAATTATCCAATCCTATTATAAAAATTCAACTTGTATGGGGTATTAATTTGTACAAAAAAAAAATATAAATGTCATAAATTGTATAGCAAACATTGAAGTTCAAATGAAAATTATATATATCTAGTTAAATATGATTTTCGTTTACTTCATTCATCTTTAATTTCATACATTGTATAGCCAATTCTATTTACTTCATTTATCTTTAATTTCAAGTAATCCAAATACTATTATTCTTTCAAAAACTATTATGATTTATATAATACAAAATTTTGATTGTTATATCCTTCGGGTTGTTGTTTACATATATATATATATATATATATTCAATTAGTGTAAAAGAGCCTGTACATAAAAGTTAATATATTTAATATTACTTTGAAAATATAAAGAGAGAAAAATATTAAAAAAGTGCACAAAAAATAGGAAAAATATATATTGGTATCAAATGAAAAGATCAAATAAATAAATCACTTACCAAATATAAAACAAAGTTCACAAGAAGGGCCAACTCGGCGGCTCACTATTTCAGTCTAAAATTGTAAATAAGCTCCAAAACATGACTCATTTCAAAACTCCACTACTTTAAAATAAGCCCCCCTGCCTTTTCCGCAGAAACTCATCTGTCTGATTCTGAATTCCGAAACGAAAAAAACAATCACCCCATCTCTTTCCCCCTCTCTTTTTTCTCTCTCAAACAAACACTCTTCGTCGTGTTCTTGTTCCAGGGAGGAAAGAGGAGTGAGCGGTAATCAAATCGTAAATAAAGAAGTTTTTTTAATAGGGGAGTGATGGGTGAGAAACGATTCGCTGTTCTGCTGTGCGCGGAGGATTCAGAATACGTGAAGAAGAAATACGGAGGGTATTTTGGGGTTTTTGTGAAAATGCTAGCGGCGGAAGGAGAGAAATGGGATGTTTATCGAGTGGTGGAAGGTGAGTTTCCAGAAGAAGAAGAGATTGGATCGTATGATGGATTTGTGATCACCGGTAGCTGCAGTGATGCTCATTCCAATGATGTTTGGATCTGCAGACTCATTGCCTTGTTGAAGAAACTCGACTCTTTGAAGAAAAAAGTTCTCGGAATTTGCTTTGGACACCAGGTATTTTATCAATTTCTTTTTTATTTTTCTTAATGCAATGTGTTTATTGATATGTTTAACTGAGTTGAAACCGGAGATTTTGAGTTTTCTGAAATCACTGTCAGTAACTGTTTGTAAAATTTTTTTTGGAGAAATAGGAGAATAAATATATTTTTGAGTTATTTTCATATGTTTTAATTAATTTTTGGGGCAGTTAATGTGAGAGGGATGAGTGAGATTTTCTTTTTTAAATGTTTAGAAGTTGGAAATGATCTTTTTGATAGAGACAAAGGTTGGGTTGGCTTCTACGTTGTAAATGGGACAGAAGGGGTGTTATAGTCTTTTCAAAATATTAATTTGCCTTTTAATTCTTAATTAATGTGATGAAACTTCCAAGGCAAAATGAAAATGTAACGCTGGAAATTGTTGTCACTGGTATTTATACTTGGCGAGTTGTGACCCATGCCATGCCACCAACTCTTTGGACCGCTCCATTGAATTTTGGAAATGTTTTCTGAAAACACTTCCTGAAATTGAATCTATTTATGTCAAATGAATAACAATCATAGGCATCTTTTTTGGAGGATTTTTTAACACTTAACAAGTCCTCTACTGTAATATTATCACTTGTTTACTATTTGTTTTTTTTTAATTATTTAAATAAAAAATTATTTTTTAAAACAATTTTGGAATGTGAAAATAGAAAATAAGGTGTTTGGTAGTTTGGTGGTCCAGCGGGCAGAAGCTGTTTGGGCCTGAGTGGTCCAATAGGCTGTTTGTGAAATGGGGTTCCCTTCCCTTTGCCGTTGTACGATTTCTGATCTTGATTTAGAGTACTCAGATATTATATTTTATTACACTACATGGGATGCAATGGGACCCACGCGCCCTATTGGTGCGTGCTTCTCAGACTCCAACTAATTTGGAGTTGGAGTTGGACCATGGCATGAAGTTCTTCTAAAAGGTACTTTTTTGAAAACGTGTTGTAGAAAAAGCACTTATTGCGTATTCTAAACAACACTCAAAATGTTTTCCCTATTTTAAGAAGCGCTTTTATGAAAAGTTTGTAAATTAAAAAAAAGGAAAAAGCTTTTCACGTCAAAACATATTTCTATTGTGACAATTAATGCATTTAATACATAAAAAAAAAAAAAAAAAATGGTATTTCATATAAGAAAAGGTTCACTTTGAAAATTTGGAGAAATGCTTGGCATTTTTCAAATTGTTTAATATATAAACAAATTGTTTTTTGGATAAAATCGAATATTTATTGAGAACTATCTTTAGTGGTCGAGGTGATTTGATAAGAACTTTTAGGTTATTATTCAGGAGATCATGAATTCCTCTTTTTTTTTCGAGTATTATAAGGATAGTCACTAAAGCTCTTATCCGACTAGTACTTTGAGGTCTTGAAGATTAGTTAAGTACGTGTAAACTGGTCTGAATATTCTTTACCATAAAAAAAAAAAAAAAAAAAAAAAAAAAAAAAAAATATTATTATATATATATATTTTATATATATATTATATATATATATATATTATATATATATAGGTAGAGAAAAGCATACGTGTAAATTCATAATACTAATTTTGTGGGTTCCAAAACTATAGCCACTTTCATATATATATATATATATATGATAGATGTTTGTTTTTAGCTTGGATATATAAATGCATATAATTCATAATAAATGGTGCAATAGTAGGATGAAACGTTAGTGGGTAGAGAAAAGCATACGTGTAGAATTCATAATACTAATTTGTGGGTTCCAAAACTATAGCCACTTTAATGTGATATTGACTCATCTGAACCATATTGTAAAAGATAATGGCTTCGTTTGGTTCAAAATTTGGGGGTTTTGGGAAAAGTTTTTTAAAAAAAGTTAAAAAAAAGTTGAATTGGACGGGTATTACGATGTAGGATTTATAAATTAATAAAATGCCCCTTATGTTTATTTTTTTACAAAATACCCCATATAATAAAACATTAAAAGTTAACAAAAACACCTCCAACCCACCCTCAAACACGCCCAGCCAACCGCCACCACCACCGGAGGTGGCCGGAGTCGCCTTATCGGCGCATGACCGATTGGATCTTGCCAGTCATGCGCCGATATGGCCTTTTCCGGCCAGATCCACGGTGGATCTGGCCGGCAAAGGCCAGATCTACGGCTAGATTTGGCCGTCAACGGCCAGATCTAGCCGTATTTGCTCTCAACGACGGCTAACAAATGGTCGTCGTTGATGGTCAACGACAACCGTTTGTTGGCCATCGTGACCGACTGTTACGGCCAAAGATCTGGCCGTCAACGGCCAGATCTTTGGCCTTAGATCTGGCCTTTTCCGGCCAGATCCACTGTGGATCTGGCCGGAAAAGGCTAGATCGGTGCACTACCGGCCAGATTCAGCCGGTAGTGCGCCATCCTATCAGATTCTGACCATTTTTCGGCGGTGGTGGCCGGAATCTGGTAAATATGGATTGTTGGGGTGTTTTTGTAATTTTAAAAAAAATATTTAGGGATATTTAATTGAATTAACAAATTTAGAGGGTTTAAAAAAAATTGAATAATATTGAAAATAGTATTCCCAAAAATGAGAGTTTTTGGGTATTTTACTGTTTAACTTTTTTGAGAATACTAAGAGTAGTATTCCCAATCTTGAACCAAACGAAGCCAATGTTATCCCACGATTTTCAACTATTTGATGGGCAATATTACGTTATCAATTATGATAATTCAATGGTTTTTATTCCTCTAATAATGCAACTAGATTGGTAACATAGAATGATCATGTGATTGTTGATGAATGATACGTAGACATGAACAACTTTAGTTATCAGTTTGTAACAAATCACTTCATTTTCTTTCTTTCTTTCTTTCTTTTTTAATTAAAAAAAATCTCTATTCTTTCAAAAAGGAGAAAGTATGTTAATAAATTATACCTAATCCATAGTCATTAAAAACTGAAATACTATAGTTTTGAATGGCGAGGGTCAGCTCCTTTTGCTCTGTATGTATGTATTTTTGTGGAGGCAAACAAAAGGATATGTGGGAAAGGTGGGATGTGACGAAATGGGGTGATAATATTAAATTAGGGTAGGTAAAGCATGAGATTAGGTTAACTTATAGAAGAAATGGGCACATGTTTTATATATTTATATATCTGTTCTTTTATAAATTCTAAGAAATATATCTAGTTCTTGGTGTCAGTCAGAAGTTACATTAGTTCTTATAATAAATGACATTATATTATTGATGATAACATAGTTTTGCGGGTATGACTCACTTTATAGTTGATATTGACTTGACAAACAATATAAAGCTCCTCCACCCATTATCACTTGCTTTTTTTTCTTCTCTTCGCATAATTAATGGACTACATTTTACATGATTGAAACTTCTTTTGTTTTTGTTGATAGTAAATATGTTGCTTTCATATAATTCTATTTTCATTATTGGACTTATATGAAGATATTTCACAATTATATTAGTGCTTTTAATCAACATGTTTTAACTCTTAATTACAGTCAAAAGTTTCATTGTTTTGGAGCTCATGCAACTATACTATAAGCTTGCTTCTTTTTTGCCATTGTCCTTAACTTTGTTGATTTGATCAGGTACTTGGTCGTTCATTGGGGGGGAAAACTGGTCGAGCCAACAAAGGATGGGACATCGGTGTTAGAACCATTCAATTATCATCATCATCATCATCATCATCGTCATCAAAACTCTTCTCATCAATCAAAATTCCAATTGCCCTCTCCATCATCGAATGCCATCGCGATGAGGTCAGTATGTTCCAACGTGAACCTGGTAACACCGTATCATTTTGTTGAAAATACGACTTTATCTTTATTGAATGATATTTAACTCTCTTGACATGATACTATATCAATACTATTTTATGTTTTTGTGGATGTGATTGGATGTATTTTGACCTTTTATGGAAATGTAGATTAGGGAGCTCCCCGCGAAAGCAGAGGTGATAGCATGGTCCGATAAGACCGGGATTGAGATGTTTAGGTATGGAGATCATATGATGGGAATTCAAGGGCATCCTGAATACACAAAAGACATTTTGTTGCACTTGATCGACCGCCTTCTCCAGCGTAACTTCATCATGGTATGTACACCATTCGATTACAAATGATCATGTGAATGAGAGTGATCAGCAAATTTGAACTGTCTAGATTGATGGATGTATGTGTTTATTGTAGGAGTCTTTTGCTGAAGAGGCCAAGGCAAAATTGGAGGAACTTGAGCCAGATAGTGAGGCGTGGAAGAAGTTATGCATCAGTTTTCTCAAGGGTAAATTATGATGAATTTTAGAAACAAAATAAAAAAATAAAATTAGCAATGAATTGTAAATAGGAACTGTTTTTTGTTTTTGTTTTTTTAATCTATGGAAGAAAGGGGAAAGTTAGATGTGACAAGCCAAGCGAAACTATGTACTATGATTTGGTTTTTGTTATATTGAAGTCGTTAAATTTTGGTTATGGTTTTATGATAATAGCTTTTATTCTTCTCTTAATGGTGTGCCTCTTCATGGGATAATTATTTTTAATTTTCATCTAAAGAGATTTTACACATTAAATTAATATTGAAAAAAGTGATATCTCTTCAAATATGAATTCTCTTACTAGATGTTTGTAGACGGTAAAATCTACGGTTACAGAAAGAGGTATGATCTTGTGAGGTTAATGTCACTGACAATCTGCTAAACCTACACACAAAGCAAACAAAAGCGAAGCTTACGTAAATATTGGTGTGGTGTCTAATGTAGGCATTTCGATGCTCAAGTCAGTAAGGTTGAATGAGACTTAATTAGTGAGAGCTAAGGGAATGAAAGATTACCGAAAGTTTAATTGGAGACTAGAACTACGGCGTTGGTGTATAACTCTTAGGAGCTAGTAGAATGTATCGAGATTCACTACCTAATGAGAGGTAGGACCTCTCTTTATATAGTGGTCATAGGATCTTTGGATCCTAGTAGGATTTTGAATCCGTAATGACAAAGTTCTAGTAAATAGGAAAAACCCTGATTTACTTGCCTTTGTAGGATTGAGGGTCCTAATTCACGTAAGATACAAGATCTTGAGTGAATTAGGATAAATCCTAAATAGGAAATATATGTATTAGTATCTTAGTGAAATTCTAGGTCCTTAAAGGATATTATGGAGCAATGGGCTTGGCCCTAGGTGGGCTAATGGTGATGCCTAATATGGAAAGAGGCCGGGTTTAGACCATGGGTCTGGCCCATGACATGAACTTTGACATAGGCCCAATCAGAATTGGGCCACGGCCTTGGGCCTATCCAAGACAATTTTTGGCCTATACAGTTAGTCCCCCACTCTCTAAGTTAAGGAGTACTTAGCTTGGAGAGTAATCGGTCTGAATGGAGGTTAACCAGGCCGAATGATGGTGATTCGGGGCCAAGCGAGTGTATCCTTGGCCAAGTGAAGGTGTTCTGTTTTGAGGAATGATGTTGTAATATACTTTCTAGCTAGTAATTCTTTGAGAAATATATGATAAAATCCACTAAATAACTTTTATAAACATATATACATAATGTAAAATCCGAAAATTCTAATTTTAATTCATATAAATATATACACAAAATACTGATATACTTTAGTATGTACAAGGTAATCTTGAATAGTGCTGCCAAACTCTTCCGCTTCTTGATGTCCGACCCGGTCGTAAATCATCTTGTACCTACAAAACAGTAAAATAATGGAGTGAGCACTAATTGCTTAGTAAGTAAAGTAAACTGCACCACTGTTCTTCCTCCGTTACTCATGTTTTGATTTCCTTTTCTCACTTTATTCTTTGATAATATTCTTCATTCTTTTCTGATATTCTGCATTCTTTTCTGATACTCTGATTTAACGTGCAACTAACATGACCAACTGATATTCTAAATTTTGGCATAATAATATGTACCCTTGAATACTAACATTTTCACTTGGTTAAGCCCAAACATAATATTCCTACTTCAATTTTTGCCTTTCTCTAACCGTTTCTTCATTAGGGTTTAGCCAACTCATGCATGTATTTTCTTTTTGGATTTTCATCAAACACTTCATATGCACATGCAACTACCATGTTGGCTACACTTCCACAACTCTCTAATCCCACCAAATTGTGAGCCAAAAACTCACTAACTTTAGTATCAAACCTGGCCGAATTCATCAGTTCTCTACACTCCAAAAATTTCAACACAAATTCTTCAACAACTTCACCAAATCATCACATAACCATACTCTACTTCTCATGGCTGGAATTTATGCATCATTAAACATAAAAAACAGCAAATAATTCTCTCATACCATCACATACAAACATGCAAAAATTCATTCAACACAAGTCTTGCTCAAATCAAGGTTCAAATTAGGTTTACTTACATTGAATATGTGAGATCACTTCCCTTTTGCTCTAAATCTCTTCCTCTTGGACCTAGATCATATAAAAACCATAAGAATTTAAAACTTTAAAGTTTAATCACACTCCTTTTGCTAGAATCTTACCTTAGGATGCTTTAGGATTGAAAATCTCCAAAAATCCAAGCCAAATCCTATGATTTCCCTTTGAAATTTAGTGAAGAAAATTGAGAGAAAATGGGGTGAAGGTGGTGTGAACAAGGGCTGAAAATATGGCTAGGGTTTCTTCAATGAAACCTTATATCTAATATTATACCCATGTATTCCCATTTTGCCCTTGCACTTTCTATGAAATTCCATCTATATCCTTTAGTCAATTACCAAAGCACCCTCATTTTTATTATTTTCTTCACATTATTTTGCTTCCTTTCACTTCCTACTTTTTCATCTAATTAGGAGCGAAAAGACCATTTTACCCCTAATGAACTTTTAAGGAATTTTCTTCACATTTGTCTAAGGTAACTTCAAAGAAATCCAACTAAGGGTATTAAGGCATAAGTAAAATTACGTACCTTGATGTGGGTGTTACATGCAACGTATCTATTGTATATGTCCCCACTCGACTGACCAAGTTGAGTGGGAGGATGCAAAGTGCATCTTTTATAGGTGCATCATTTGTAGATGTCCCCACTCAGCTAACTGAGCCGAGTGGAAGGATGCAAGGTGCATCCTTTGTAGATGTCCCCACTCAACTGACCGAACCGAGTGAGAGGATGCAATGTGCATCCTTTGTAGATATCCCCACTCGACTAATTGAGTCGAGTGTGAATGTTGTGCACTTGTGAACTTTGAGTGGAGAATTTCAACATTTCAAGGACTAGAGCTTGAGTTGGCTTGTCTAGACGAGGTGATTTCTGTTTGAGTACAATTTGGTGGCGCTGGGAGAATGAAACACGTGTAATGTAGGGTTTTGCAGAGTTTGAGTGAGAAATGAAAGAACGCAACTTCCGAGGTGAGTTTATTGCATGACACATGTAGGGCTGGGATTTCATCTTCATTTTGAGTGGGGATTTGAACAGTCGCGACCAATCGGTAGCAGCCGCGTGTCACCTCTGACAGGCTGGACATTTAGAAAAGGGAAAAAGTGTTTGGGGCGACTATTCATTTTCCTTTGCATATTTGTTCCTCTCCCTTTCTCAAAGTTTCTTTGTAGCTCTTTTGAATCATTTCTTTTGCAGCAACACTATTTCGGCATTCTTTCTTCGAAAGTACGATAATTTTCTCCTCTGTTCTTTGATTTCAGCTTCTTTCTAGTTTCCCGTTGCGTCCATTTGTCGGTTTAAAAAAGATTGGGGGAGGTTTGGATATTTCTCTTGGAGTTTCGAATTGGTTTAGGTTTGTTAGAGAAGGTCTTAAGAGTTTGTTTTGGTACCTTTTGCAATCTGTGTGAAGAGGAGTGAGAGTAATGATTGTTTCATGGAGTTATTTTCTGGGAAAAGTAGAAGATTTCAACGAGTTTGTTGTGAATTTAGGTTTTTTGGGGGTTTAGAGGAAAGAAGAATAGGCTAAGTTATCCAGTGTATCCATTCGACTTGTCTTGGTGATCTTGACCGAGTCGAGTGGGTTCGAGTTAGGAGAGTGATGTGTGAAGGTTTAGGTCAATGAGGGGTCTTCGTTCGGTCAACCAGACTGAGTCGAGTGAAGTGAGGTAGAGTTGAAATGTTGTAAAGGATTCTTCGATGTTGCATACCTATTCGAGTAGGGCGAGTCAGACGGAGATGGAAATGGGAGATGAGTATGAGAGTGCTCCCACAATGGTGGTAATGCCAGAAGTAGGTAACTTACCAGTGGGGATACCCAAGGGGTTAAGTATGGTTGTGGCCAAACCGACTCCTACCGAGTTGAGTGGCGGTGAGTCTGATAGGTAGAGGGAGAGTGGGGAAGAGACCGATGAAGAGCCAAGCAGCAGTCCTAAGGATGAGTGCTTGACGAGTGGGAGTTCTGGGGTTGAGCTGAGCCGACGGGGTGATGGTATCCTACTTATGAACAACCCTCCCGAGCTCAAGCAAGATGACGAGTGGAGGATAAAGACCATGTACTATATACCTGACTTGGTGGAGATAAGGATGTCGAGGAATCACAAAAGGGTCGACTGGGACGTGCCAGGATGGATCGATATGTACGACATCTACTTCTATGATGGGCTCAGGCTATCGATTCCCCGGTTGGTCTAGGAGGTGCTAAATCATTTCATGATCACGTCGACTCAAATCATGCCGAATGGGTGGAGGTTGTTGATGGTGTTGGAGCTCCTCTGCATAATGAACCAGGTGAGGTTTGGGTTGCACGAGCTCCTTTACTCCTACTAAGCATGACAAGGACAAGGGGAGGTACACCATCACCTTGAGGCATGACCGACTCCACCTAGTGACGTGCCTCAGGTCAAGCGACAAGAATTGGAAGGGAAACTTCTTTTTCTTGAAGAGAGACATGATCTTCGGTAAGAGGGGATAGGGCGACATCCCATCCATTTGAAGAGCCACGGGTGAGTGACTTATTTACTTGTCATTGTACTTTGATGACTAAATCTTATCTTCCATTATTTTGTAGATCTCTCATTCAACAAAGCCAGGCAGAGTGGTGATGGATTGGTCGAAACTACAAGAGAAGTACTCTTTATACTTAAGGAATAGCGAGATTGACGAGTGGTGCTGCAGGAAGCTAACCTTAGGGTGAGTCACCTTTGGGATGGGTCGTGGCTGTAACGAGAGGTACCCCTTTCCCTTCACTAAAGCAAGTTTGGCATGTGCTGCTGATTGGCTACTATAATCACATCCTCTACTGACATTCGTTTCTTCATCCTTTAACACCTAAAGAGTTTTCCATTGTAAAGAGGTTGATGAAGAATCTTAATGTGGACTTACCGAGTGCGAGTGAGGTAGCCGCACAATGCCCAGCCAAGAGAAAGAAGGAGTCGGTGGCAAATGAGAAGGTTTAAGTGGAGCGAACTGAGCCGACTCCATCATTCGGACAATCATCGGTCAGGGCCAGATCATCGAAGAATGTCCGAATCGATGAGGAGGGCGAGAAGCTGACCATCACCTTTCCAACAATGG